GATACTTCACATCATGATGACAGATAAAGGTGTTCCTTTTAAGAAACAGACCACTTTGCTTTCAGACATCTCAGAACCTCTTGATTCTACTGCTTATGCTGAGCTGCAACTATGTATCTCTAGCAGTTCCTTTGTAAGCTCCTGGACACTGAAAATCAAAAAACAAAGACAAATATTAAATCTTTTGACGTACCTGGATTTGCAGTCCCAAAGATTAAGTACAGCACTTAGGTATTTAGCTTACTTAACTGGAATTAATATCTTAAGCCCACCAGTGCTATTGTTAAATTTTAGCCTCTCAAAATAGTAAAATCCAGTGAAACTTAATGGGGGGTTATCAAAGAGGTTGTGGAATTACATCTTATCAATAGACTGGAACAGGCAAAATACAGATTAATACCAACATGTTCCAAAGAACAATACAGTAGTGGACCGGTGTTACATGGAATTTTAAATATACTTTTGATAAGGTTGGCTTTACAGTAAAGATAAGATAAATTGCTTTCCCCTTGATTAGATTCTAAGATAGTCTAACAGACTTTGTAATACAGAAAAAAATATTCAGAAATTGTTGTCTCTGTATTTAAAGCAGGAAGTGGGTCCAACAGTCCTTCACCCTGTGCTGTTCACTGCCACAGGTGAACTAGGTTTCTGTTATAAAGTTGCCTCTTATTGAAAATGTAACTCACCTGAAGCTGAACAATTACGGTTTCAGAAAGGCAAATGCAGTGTCAACACAGCACACAACCAGATGCCAAAGCCACTTGAACAGGGAGCACCTGAAAAGCAGAAATCTTTATGCTTTAGTGTCATGATACAGTTCTGAGAAGGTCTGCTCTAATTCCAGCAAGGGCATCATAGCCATTTAGTCCCCCTTACTCCTACTGTGGCACCTCAACATCCCTCTCTCTTACTCAGCAACTTACATCTCACTGCTGCCACTGGAAGGAGCAATATTTGCTGTCTGATAGGGATAAGGTCTCAAGGTTGGCTCAACTATGTGCAAACTCTCACTGTAACATGTCCAGCCCTGTACTTGCCAGCATAACTTGCCCAGTACAAGCTGCAATATGAAGAAGTCGAATGTTAAATCCCTGAAGCATAGGTACTAATAGGCTTTAATTCCAAATAGGATGGGAACACCATGAAAAACTCTTCAAGGGGTTTTACAGTCTGGATAAAGATGCTAATCCACCACAGTGCTACCTCATTTTCCACTTGCAGCTCTGCAAACAAGGTTCTGTTGCAGATAAAGGTTGTGATCTGAAGGTCCAGACATGGAGAGCCCTGCCTTAAATTTAGGCAAAGAACATGGGAAAGAAGGAAAGGAAAAAGCTCAGTGTTTCATGCTACATCTTACACATGCTCGTGCTTAGCATAGTGTAATGCTACTAGCTGCTAATCCAAATCTTCTTCCTGTATCTCTTGCTGTGGGTAAATCCAAAAACCTTCCTGCTGTTTATCTCAGTCAGACATGCAATCTGAGGCATGAGTTAAAAAGTTGATCAGAAGATTCACTGTAACCCACCTTCAAAATTATCCTGGTGGATGCTGCAAGACTGCACATCCCAGTGGAGTGTGTGTGTCCTCCTCCTCCCCTGGGCAGGAGGGAATGCCTGTACTTACCACTGGGAGCTGGGGTGTGCCCTGCCGGGGCGGTGCTGCCACTGCTCGGTGTCCCAGGGGTGCTCCTGGCCCCGTCCAGCGCCAGCTGCAGGCTCTGGAGCTGCAACGCATCCAGCTGCTCACGCTGTGACCTGGTGACCGTGGCGGCATTTTCAGGACCCAGGTTTGCTATTTGTTCTGGGGACAATGCCTGGGAGGAACAAAGGCCAGAAAAAAATGGTTTAGGCTGTCAATATTATAAAGGAGGTAAGGAATGAGGAGCCAGAGCTGTCTTGCATTTGGAATGAAGGGAAGTAGCCTTCAACTTCACATGGCTATAAAAGAGCTCAATACAGTGTAAAAAACCCCTCTGCATTCATCTGCTTCACTGACCACTCATGTATCTTTTAGCCTTCTCTTTTCTGCTGGGATCTGACAGCTTGAGAAGCTTTTTATGGCAACACTGTACTGGACACTTCTTCAATGTACTGCTGGTTTAATTTTCCAGCTATTCCTTCTCTGATTTGTTCAAAGACAGATGACATTGTGCATCCTCTTCTTACAACTGCTTCCGAGCAACACCATTCGAACTGATGTTTGACCTTTGGTTATAGTTTGCAGCAGAGCAATGAAATTAAAAAACACATACTTTAATCTCATTATTCAATTTTCTCTTTTAAGTTGAAAAATCTTCCAAGTTCCATGATATTAAAACTTGTGTTTAAAAATGAAACATGGCAGTCAGTAATTATCTTACATGACCTAGCAATTAACCAGCTTGTAAAGCCTGTCTGTATTAAGCATGCTGAATTGCTTTGGTTCTAGTTAATATTCTGCAGTTTCAAGGCTTTTAAGCCCTCCTACAGACCAAGCTTTCTTTGCTGCAACAATTCTGCATCCAGGTTCTACTGGACTAAAAGACTAAACTCCACTCCTGAGTAGGTCAGACAATGGAGCAAACCCTCCCCAGTTCTTAATTGTCTGTAAAATAGTGTGCTCTTTTAAACTGAGTAAACTCAGGCAGATGTCTACAGGTCAAGAAATTTTGAATTAAACCTCTCCTTAACTCCACTGAAGTCCATAATACAGTGTATTTTTTCATAAATCAAAATGTGAATATTGTATACAGCTGTAAAATGAAGTTATACAAAACCTGTGTAAAAACAAAATCTGCTTTGAATCTTTCAAATACAGAACACTTCTGAGAAGGTGTGCTGTTATTTGTTAAGCACATTTTTAGTAACATTACTATTTTTACTAGCAAAAATGTATGCTATTTGAAAGAAAGTCTACAAGATGCTACAGATCTTCTCTCTCTTTTGCCTGTTTTTCAACTAAATAGTTGTGCTAAGGACATTTCAGGCTTATCTAAACTGTCAGTGGTTCTGTGCAGATCAGTTAGTGTTCAAGGAGTTTCTCTCTTTTATGGAAGCTGACAGAGTTAACTATCTGTTCAGCTCATCTGTCCATAAGTACATTGCTTGCCCAAGTATCTGAAAGGGACCAGCCTAGGCAGAGTATCAATCTTGTCACTAAGTCAAATAAAGTCTGGGGCAATGATCTCAAGATCCATGTTCTAATTTCTGGTCCACATTCAGAACTGCTGTAATTAGATGTAATTCCTTTCTGATCTGTATCTGCTTGTACAATCTGTTTTTCAGAGCTAACTCAGAATGTTGCCAGATTTTAGGATAATAAAAAAGCTCTTATATACTGAGCAGAGAAATCTGTAGCTATGATAGCATCCTTGCAAATGTTAATACACAGAGAAGAAAACTCAGATCTGAACAGTGTTGGAAGGAGAGTCTATTCCCTGCTTTCTGACCCTAGATATTTGCTTTTTCTTCAGGATGCATTCTGGAGAATAAATAAACTTGTCTAGCATATTTTATGGGCATCACAGATACAGATTATACAGCTGAAAGTTAATGTTTCAGATTCTTGACTGCCTCTTACTTAACACACCACAGAAAAACTTGCTGAAACCCGAAACTAAACTACAAATCAGTGCTGCAGTTTATTTATACAGAGTAAAAATTACACAAATTTGGTTACTTCTTCAGCAATTGAGCTCTTACTTGGAAAACTTCAGGAGGTATACGTCGTATTGCTATTGGCTGGAAATAGGGCATCAAGTTTTTATCAAAAGCTTTTAATTCATCCTCATTCAAACCACCTAAAAACCCACAAACAATAGAAACAGAATTCAGTTAATATTCTTTTAATTAGATTTATTTTTAGGCTAATACCAATGTTAAGCATTTATACAAAATATCTAATAGATGGTTTATTCCAGTGCATTATGAAAAGAGACAGTGGTTCTTTTTTGTTTTGCTTCTTTCATTCCAAATATTACAAATCATCTGTACAAATCTTAACCATTGGCATGGAACACACTCTACCTGAGCTACTTTATCTTGGAAAAGTGACAATGATACAAATCAGTAAAATCATAAGCATTGTTATTAGGGAATGCTCATTCACAGGCTCTTCTGATGCAAGATGAGGGAGCATGAGCATGGAATGGGAGCTCCTTCTTCACCCATTAGGTACTCACAGTGTGAGAGCATTGCTGCAGGCATTGGGGATACTAAAATGTATGAGCTCAGTGTGCAGTTAAATTATCTCGGGAGGGTTGGGGGGAAAAGCATGAACAAAACGATGTGTGACCTCTGGCTCAGGAAGCCCCCGAGGCTGTAAGAGCAGGCTGGAGAAGTATCACTGCAGGCTATCCCTGCTCTTGGGCTCTTCCCTGGGCAGCCCACTCTTCCCATGGTTGGAGGCATGATGCTTGGCCAGCTAAAGCACTGCTCCAACCCAACACCTTCTCCTAGCAGCACCGTTCACCAACGGTGAGTAGGTCTGAAATCCTGTTTGGTTTGGCCCACCTTGATTTACCCTTTCCAGCTCAGAAGACACATATGACTTCAAGCAGTGATTCCCAAGGTCAGCTTGAGCAGATACAGAGCACATTTTGAAGAATACTGTGACTTTTTATTAGTGCCAGTTAAATTGCTGGGTGTCCATCCCTCCAGGTGACTCTCTTCTAGGGGTCTTTTGCCCCTCTAGAAAAATGCACTGCTATGTGAACCTGTCTCTTAATGCTTAATAGGAATGCTTCAGAGCCATCACCATCTGAATCTTGTTACCTGCTATAGCACCAATCTCCTGTAAAACAGAGCTGTTCCAGGTGATAGCAGAACCAAACACAGATTCTGTTAGCTTCTTAAACTGCCTCAGAACAGGGGTGCTACAAAACAACAGGCCAATCCTTGCAACAGCAGCACTGCAAAAGGCAACAAGGTTAATGTCACATGCTGCAATTACATGCAATACTAAATATGCCTGGAATATAGTCTGCTGTAAACCCATTTTCAATTTAAAATACACAGACCCAAATTGCATACAAATGTTTACTCCTTTGAGCAAAAACCTGGGTTTCCAGTGCAGCCCTTAAATGGTGGGATATAAATGGCAGAGGAAACCTAAAATATAATATATTTTAAACAACTAGTGTATGCCTTCCATAGCAGTTATGGCCTTTCAAATAGCATTTTAAATGTAAAAAAATGTCCTTTAGGCTCTGGAAATCTTGAAGGAAAACAAAATGCATAGTAAATTTTATCAGAGATACTAATAAATATTTCAGGAAGTTTTAAATGCAGTACCTGAATTCAGCAGTTCTTATGGACATGATTTCTGTGGAGTTCAAAGCACAGAGAATAGCTCCTAATCCAAGTAAATCAAAGCTTTTCAGCATCCTGATTGTCTGCCCAGAGTCTTCTAGAAAACCTTGCAAAATAGATCGTGCCTACAAAGCAGTGAGATATTGTGCATGAAGAGAGTAAATATAAATGAAAGTTTTGTTACTAGAAGCTTAAAATCTCACCAGAAGCTATGGACCATCTGTAACTCTAAGCCTTCCCAGTGTAATTAACTGGAGTTTTGCCATGGCCTTCAGGAGGAGCGTTGTCACCACTTACATGTGACACTTAAAGAGGGAAATGTTTAGGTTTTCTAATACTCAGGTTGTCTTGTCTTACTTAAGTGTCATATATAGGTAGTGACCTGTGTTTAGGATTAATTTTCAGATATCATGGGATATTAGTACCAAAATGCCTTTGCAACTCAAACTCTTTTAGGATAGTGCTCATCTTAAACTAACCACTGAAAATCTGTGTGTCTAGATTAGCCTACCAGCAGAGCATCCTCCAAAGTCAGTGAAAGGAACAAGCACCTTCCAAGATTTCCTCATCTGTCCACAATGCTGCATCTCAAAAGAGTAGTTTAAATCAGCTGCTTGACTTTAGCAAGTTAGGCAGGATGAATCTTTTTTAACTAGCTATTCTTACTGACAGCAGGAAACCTCAAAAGCCAACTACTTCATATAAAATCCTCCAAACTGCTTCTTTCTGATAGTTCTCTTCAAAACAAGAATCTATTAAACAGATTTCTGATATTCTGCCAAAGCTGCTGCCACCATGCTAGAATCTGTGCAGCCAAGGAGCCCTGATGGTATGGGTCATGGAGTCAGAAACGTGCTGCCAATTGCATATACAAATAAAAGCTTTTAACTCTTATTATGAAAGTCCCATTGACATAACTAGAAGTTGTTCAAGGAAAGGAACATGAGAGTAATATATCTGCTAATAACTTGAGCTTCTAGTGCAATGGATGCTGGGGCAGGGGCAGTGACTGCTCTCAGTTAGGAAGAGCTAATATCTCCTAGTAGTATTGTCTACTCTGGGGCCAGTGTGTCAGGAGATGCTGATGTCTTTCTACGATTTGGTGGGCAAGGGCTAAACAGGACACTCATCACCACCAAAATTAATACTGATTGATGTCCTCTTGGCCATCTCATCAGGGAAGCCAGCAGCCAGGCAGACATCAGTGCTGACCTACCAGCCCACTCTCACTGGGGTCACAGCTGCAGAAAAGCAGCACAGAATAGTGTGGATTTCCATATCTATTTCCTAGGCAATTTCAGGACTTCAGTCCCAAAGGACACAAATCCAAAGCCTTTCACCAGCAGTACATTCAATAACATATTTACCTGGGTAGGAGTCCATTCTGTTTGCTGGCTAAGTACAGAAATGGTGTCAACAGAATGCAAATCCAGCTCTTCAATTTCATGTTCAGTGAGTGCCAGAGCAATGCGGCCCAGAGAAACAATGTGGTAACTCTTCCAGTCTGGCAGCAATCCCCAAACCTTTAGAAGAGATGGTTTATGTCTGTTACTATTATTATGATATGCCTGTTATATGCCTATTAATATCCGTTAGATCATTAGGAATCTTCCTCTATATACAACAACCTCAAACCCCTTGGTTTTAAAAGTCTCAATAGATTAAATGTGCTTGTACAGATACAGTTAAATCTGTAAATCTCCATAAAAACAAAGAAATAAGCAGGGGCTCTTCTAACCCAGTACCAATGTATTTAAACTGGTAAGTTCCACTGCTTTTAACTTTATCTATGCAATACTTACAGTGATTCTAAAGCTGTCACATTTCAGCTCTAAGAAAATGTTGGTTTTGGGAAAAGCTCTGCCAGAGTAAGGAATAATGAAAGTCCCACGAGATGAATCTGCAGAGGCTGGAGCTGTCAATTACACTTAGTTGGAAATGATAAAAGATGGCAGTCAGTGCTCAGTGTCTCTCAGGGTGTGGCCAGTTATCTTTACAGAAAAAAAGACACTGGGCTTTGGGTGGAGAAGAGACTGGAATAAGACAGGCATACATTTAAAAAAATGTTAAAAAGCTCATTTTAAAGGTCTCATACTTCAGCAGCTTTGCTTTATGTCAGTCAATACATGACAGTCTACCAGTACATGATTGTGCTGCTAACTCAAAAAATAAAACTAAAAGCCCAGTCCTGGGCTAAGCAGATCATTCATGCTATCTGATTCATGAAAATACTTATTCCATTTTCAGGATAGCTACAATTCATCTTTTGTTCAAAAAATGAGAAAGGGCAAAGCTAGTAAGGACTTGCTGAAGGAATATCTCTGCAGTTGCCTACTACAGTGTTTGCATCTTCAGATACATAGGAAGCTTTACATCCTGCATAAAATAAAGGGACAGATCTCTGGAATAAGTTATTTGCTGTCCATACCAATGTGCACATCCAACACAGAGCACCCTCAGGACTGCTGAGGTGCTCTTCTCAACTGTGACCCTCAGGTTAAGGATTTGTTTGAGATGCTTTGCTGGACCTGTACGACCTGACTTAGTTTTCATTGTATCTTTTGTGTTGGTTTTACAATGTCATAAAGAAACAGAAAAAGGGTCTAAGCCTGGGAAATGTCAATATTTTAAAAAAGTAAAAAGAATTAGTCCAGTTTTAAAGCTCTTAATTCTCTAGCTTAAGAGATACACAAACACATGCAGTTAAAAATGTCATGTATCTATTTCCTGATCTAGGTCACAAACTACAGAATTTGAGGTACTTCATAAATAGTATTACCTGACAGTGCTGGATGAGTTCTCAGACATAATGATATAAATAACACAACATATGAAACTGAAACATTGTCCTCATTCACTTACAGACTGCAGATCCATACATCTGTTACTACTGCAGAGCTTGGAGACCTTCCACTCGAAGAGAGCTAAGCTTCTTACTTTCATTAAGACACAATCTGATAACTAGACTTTTGGAATTAGTTTGGGACCATGACTAGTGCACAGTTTATTTTAGGGGGAATCAATCAATTTAGGAGAAATTAAAGCTGGCTTAATGAAACTTTTAATCAAAGATGTCCTTTGGTTAATAACATAACAGCATCTTATGCACATAATTTCAAAGAGCTTTGCCTGTTCAGTCTGATTTCTCAAGCTTCATGTGCAGTGTAACACCATGTTGCATTCTGCAGATTAATACACAGGAAGTCTGTCTTTGTCTGGCAGCTATCTGCCTTACAAACACTGACACAGAATATACTTCCATTTGGTGCACCACAGATCTATCTTTGAACTGAATATAGCTGGGATATGAGTGTGTTAACCTTGTTGGCGGCTCCACAACAACAGATACCACTCTGTAAGTAAACCATTATGTTGCACTGCTGTAAAATATTTTAGTTCTCACTATCTCAGATGAGATTTTCTGCCAGGATTATATTTTTTTCCCCTTCTCCTACCCACGTATCTCTGTGCTGGCAAAGGGAAGCTGTCTTGGGAAGAATGCATTTGATGCAGTGGGCTGTTGTGCTACTGCAACAAGACAGCAGAGACAGAAGTGCAGAGTCACCATCTGCTTAGGAAACCTGGTTAGTGCTACTTCACTCTTTGAAGACCTGCAGTTCAGGAGTTTTAAAAGCTTATTTTAGAGCTGCATAGTTCAATAACAGCAAATAAAATTCTAGATTTAATTTTGCTTTACAGACAGGTTAGGTACCTGCTTGGCTTTTTCCTTCAAGGCTATAAGCTGGGAGCTGTTAAAACCTGAGACAGTCCCAAGAAGCTCCACATTTTTGTCAAAAGTCCCTGCATCCATGCATTTCAGTTCCTGAACTGACCAAAAGACATTTGCTTCTGCTAATTTAATAATTTCATCTGAAGAAGGAGCTCTGGTTCCCAGGCAATCTGAAAAAAAAAAAAAAAAAAAAAGTAAAAAAAAAGTCAAATAGCAAATGTTTTCTTTGAGATGACTGAAAAAAGAAAATCAAAGCAACAGAGAGATTTAAGAGCATGGCAGACTACAAATTAACTGCAGCTGATGTGATATTGATAAATTCGTTATCTTGCAATTAAATAACGTCTTCAAATATTTACATTTTTTTACATCCTGGATATAAAATTATAATTTGCAACAAATGTTATGTTCTTTGTCCTCCAAGGGCACTGGATGCTGGAAAAGAAAATAGGAGCAGACAGGTATTTCAGAAGTTACAATATAGGATGCCACAATGAAACTAAAATCTGGATGTGTGCAATGGAGTAACCAACATCTTGCCAGTTCCTTTCAAGTCTAATTCCCTAAAGGCATCACCACCCAGGCAAGAGCTTATTCCAAGGTACAACCACCATTTGCAGGAGCCTTGCTTGAGTGAGAATGAAATGCAAATCTCTGGGATGACCTTGGTGGAAGTCTCCCTATAGCTGTGTCATTGTTCACCACAAAAAATGTTCCAGCTGAATAAACTTCTCCATGTTCAAACAGCCCTTAAGTGAATCCAGCTCCACAGGAACCTAACAGATGTGAGATGCCTTTTTACTCTGAAATACCCTGACAAAGATCTATGTCTTGTAAGACTTGGCTGACATTTAAACAAGGTGAAGACAGAAGCTGGATGTGTCAGAGAAGCACGGTGCTTGTTCTTTATGTCAAGCATGTCATTAAAATGTCAGGATCTAGAGAAAAGGCTGTTCACTTACAACAGAACTGTTTGGACAGACAAACTCCACTTAAAAATATCATTTATGGTCAGGTTCTGGCCCTATGCATGATCAAATGAGACAGTTTCCACTGTGCATTTTAACAAATCCTGGTCTTTGTTGGAATTATATATATAGGTATATATATATATATACACATCTCTAATATTGATGTAAAGCAGAAACTGGAATCCTAATGTGGTTGCTTACTGCTCTCTCTCCTGTCACTAATGTAGGAAAACCTTATTAAATAATTATCTAAACCAAGTATTCCCTACATGTCTTCAGATACAGTCATAACCAGTAAAAAGCAAGAATTTCACAGATGCTGTGCCTGAGCTAAGCTCCCCCAGATAAATAAAGCGAGGATGTAGAAAGTAGATTTGTATTTTGAAAGGAGGCAGAGGAGGGATTTATGTGTATCAAAGGAAGCTGCAGTAGTGGTTAGAACACTGAAAAGACTGAATCTGTTGAGCAAACGAAAATGTTGCTCAGCTTCCAGTGTACCAGCTGATGTTCCTCCCTCCCTTCACACTGCCCTCTTGTGAAGCTGCATTGTTTCACTTTCCCCCTGCTGCACAAGGTCAGCTTTTATCATGTAAATGCTACCCTTCCAGACACAATGCAGTTCCCTTCCTCAGGCCATGAAAACCTAATATGTTGTGTTCTTGGAAAACACACTGATTTTCTTATTTGTAACGCACCAGAAACATTGGTATGATTACAGAGGGAAATACTAATAAGACTTCTGGCTTTGCTTCTCATACTACTTCATTCTTCCTTTTGCTGTATAATCACATTTAGTTTGATGAAGAACACAGAACCATAGAATGCCAGGTCAGAAGGGACCTGAGGGATCATCTGGTCCAACCTTTCTAGGTGCTAGTACACTTTATATGAGATGGTTCAGCACCCTGTCAGGCTGAGACTTAAAACTGTCCAATGTGGGGGAATCTACCACTTCCCTTGGGAGACTACTCCAATGTTTACTGTCCTCATGGTGAAAAATTTACACACTGGATCACACAATATTAGGGGTTGGAAGGGACCTCTGAAGATCACCTAGTCCAAGCCCCCTGCTAGAGCAGGATCACCTACAGTAGATCACACAGGAGCACCTGCAGACAGGTTGGGAATGTCTCCAGAGACTCCACCTCCTCTGGGAGGTTGATACTGGTCTTACAATACAAATGAGACAACTCTGCAACTGCACTGGACATGAACTGGTCTGATCAGAGAAGACTCTGGGATTCACGTTCTTGTGATTCAGAGGCCTAAAAATGCACATAAAGACACAAACATACTGAAATGCCTGATGCTGAACCTTCAGCTCTGTGTCTAAATAAACATGATTTATTATTAACATATTTGTTCAAGACTGAACTTCATGCATACAGAAAGACTAATATCTTGCTCTTCCAGCAGTTGAATTCTGCTTTTTTAGAGCGTGGTCAGATTTAAGAACAGCCGAGTCAACATGTGCTCACGTCTGGCAAAGGATTAACCATGTGCAATCTTTTGGCACAATGGTAACCTGTCACCTTCCCAGCTTTTCAATTGAAGGATTTAACAAAGGAAAGTAAAAATAAACAAAAAAGGAAAAATAAAGCCCCCTAATTAAAATAATTCATCTTTTTCTTCTGTGCACTCAGGAACATCCCCAGGAAATGTTTAACCATGTAATCCTGTAATGAAATGAGGTGTTTCAGCCATTGGTCAATGCATCAGACAACTCCAGGCAGCTGAATGAAGACTCTAGAAGTCTGAACCTCTGAAGTTACTCAGTGCTTTACTTTTTATTGTCAGGCTTCTCAGAATGCATTTGATGACAAAGTGAAACAGAAAGTCTGTTTGAACTGCACCATCACAGCCTAAAATGGCACCACTGTAAATCTAGCACCTTGTACAGGTACCAGGTGAAATACTGACCAGGTCTGGTGAGAGATGATTCAATGTTGGCAGTGGCATTGGAGACAGATTCAAATACTGTTGAGAGAAGCTCTTCAGCTGAAGAAATTGGTCCAGTCATCTTTGCTATTTGTAAAATGATATTGGGGAACTTCAAAGGGAAAGAACAAAAAAAAATATTAAGATTTCTTTCTCCCTTTTAAAACAAATCAATTTGCAGAGGAAGACTTGTGCAGATGTCAGCAAAGTAGGGGTTAGTAACACCTCAGCCTCCTTCCTATTTGTGCAGATGTTTCAGAGGAGAATAAATTGGCTGCTACTGAAAGGTAAACAGCATAAATCTGAGCAAAAATTAGAAACAAAGCAAATTCTGAGTGATTCTCCCTGTGGTATGCCCTTCCAGCTCTGGCAACACCTGAGCACTGCCTGATTGGAGCCTGTGTCCAGACCCTCCTGTAGCAATGAGTTCCACCATTTTAAATTGTGCAGTACAGAAAGTAACTTTATTGTGTTTGTCTTAAATTTGCCAGGTAAGTATAAGAATTGAAGATAGGGACCCAAGCAAATGAGCAGAAATAACTTTAACCTGTTCACATTTTTTAGGGTTTTTTGACCTCTCTCCTGCTCCCTATTAGACACCTTCCTTCAGTGAAGAGTTCTGTTCTATTTGGTCAATTATAAGCATTATCTCCTGTGGAAAAGCTGCTGACTGTGCTCACATATTTCTGCTGAAGAAGGAATTCCTCATTCCACTCTAGTTTACTCCTACACAAAAAAATTATAAGAACTAAAGAGGGCAAAGAAATTCCAAAGTGCAATGCTGAGGCTATCAGTTACTGTTATGTGTGCCACAGTGGCCCTAGGGCAAAGGGCCACATGAGTAAATGCTAACTTGATCAGTATGATCCCATTATTAACAGGATAAGAAACATAAATTTTACAGTTGGAGGAAACAACACTGCAAGGTGTAAAGTACTAAAAATGTTTGAGCCTGTGTCACTATAAATACAGCATTTTTCTCCCCTACAGAATTATCATTATATACATGCAAATAATTGTTTGTATTATCACCACTTTACAGAAGAAATATCAGAAGTTTTGATGTGTGAAACACTAGCACATGGTACTGTGCCAAAAGAATAATTTACCTAGTTTAGCATTCAGGTTACAGAACTTTAGAATGTATTATGACACTCATAAATCTAAATTCTAACATTAGCTTTTACAAATTTAAAAATTATAATAAAAACATACCTTTTCAGCAAGGATATTTAATTCCCCTTTTGATAGCAGAGCTATGAATGGTCCAACATCTAATGTTGTTTCAGCTGTCCAGTTGCTTGGAGAGCTGAAGAGATATTTTTGAAAATTACATTAATGAAGAATGTTTGCAATCAAAATTACACTAAAACTTCAGAGTTCTTCTTATACTGTATCATATAGGACACACAGATACTCCTGTCAATGGGATGATTCATGCTTATGAACATCAGATTGCATTTTCTCATCTCTGATTCATAGGGCATTAGTGGAGTTCTCAATATATTCAGATATATATTCAATATATTCAGAAAGCCTTTAAATAATGCATCTCTCTTCCTTCCATAGTCCCAGTATTCTTAGCATTACATTCTTCAAACAAGACTTACAACTTCAAAACAAGAAGTAAGAATTATTTTTTAAAAGGAAATTTACCATATTTTTTATAAAATTATGTATTCTTTATCATGTGTCATGATGTGATAAAATGAATTTGTATCAAGATTAATGCAGGGATTGCATCTGGTGGGAAATACAGCTATTCCATGATCAGAAAAATGCTGTCAACTAGAAAGTAGCTGAATGAGGAATTAAAGTAATTAGGCAGATCAAGTGACAGACTTTGGGGCTGAAGGGATTATTAGAAACTATGTATGTGGTCTCTGTTTTCAAATGCAAGATACATTTATGAGAGAAAGAGGACATTCTTGCCAGATGGAGGATGGCTTTGTTTTTTGCATGACTGATACAGCAGTGTGGTTCAAATCAGCCTCCTAATCTGAGTAGTTAATGACATCTAACACACTCTGCTTTGTTGCTTCACTTGGTTGAAGTTTATATCCCTCTTCTTCTCTAGTTCTCTCCCATTGTCACAGGTGCTTGCAGTTCTCTTTATTTCACTTCTCACACCAGCACTCTGAGTATCCCACTTCCATTTTCCCATTCTTTGCATTCCTGTACCATTCCTCACCTGTAACACCCTTTATCATGCCACATTCTGCCTGCCTGCCCCTCACTCAAGTTTACACTTCCTCTCCTTTTCCTCTGGGACTTAAGTCATGCAGTCTGTCCCTGGGGTTCTATTTTGTTCTACAGTTACACAAGAACAGAAATGTCTGGAGGACAGAGACCCCAAGCTCAGCCAGTGACAGAAGTTGCTTTGTGTTGTTCTCATTGCAGTTCTGGGCAGAGCAAGGGGTTGGTATTTGCATGACTCAGCCATCAGTATAAGCAAGGTGATGTATCTAATACCTTACCCATATAACTCGAGGAGTTTGTATTTAATTTCAGTCTTCTGCTCGTGGCTGAGCTGTCGGCAGAGTTTGAATTGATGAAGGGCTGTTGCCATGGCCCTCAGGGACATCCTGCCATGTAGCAAGGCTGGAGGTAAGTGGCAGATTAGATTTCCAAGTAGGTCAACATCATATTCATCAGCAATGGAGCCATTCTGAAACAAGAAGCATTTACCTTGTTGGCAGAGCTAATCTTGGGCTTTTGCCCTGTGTCACTCAACTGCATCACAACACATTTCAGCTCTGTGACCCTTTAAGGAACAAAGACACAACAGTTTGCACTGGGAACTTAATCTTCAATTTCTGCTAAGGCTGCTTTATACTTTTTGCTTCTACCAACACAGCTGGTGATATTTAATAAGCACTCATTGGAGTGTTCATTGTATTCTTTATTCCATATTGAAGCATGTAAAAATTAATTAAAACTGAATCTCCTGCCACAATGTACATACCCAGGTGAACACCCAGCACCTGCAGAGGTGATACACTTCTGTTTAGCAGGAGGATCTTCACGTGGCCCCTCATGGCAAAGGGGCCACAAGATCTTGCTGTCACAGCCCTCTCAGAGATTTCTCAGAAGCTGCCACGCCAGGGATTATAGGGCTGGTTAGTATGTATGAGTACATGGATATTCACAGCTACACCAAAGAAATAGTTTTCCCTAAAAACTGGTGACAGTCAGCAGAAGTCACAAAATCCTTCTGGTACCACCTCTTCCATGGAGCTTCCTGTGCCATGTGCAGCTCTACAGGGCTAGCACTGCTTGGAGCAAGGGGGAACAGCTCCAGATGCAAATGGGTCATCTCCAGGCTGTCCTGGACAGCTGGCTGTGGCCAGCAATGACATTTCATGAGAACACCTTGTAACGTGCATGGAGTCAAGGCACATTGTTAAGAAAGCCATAAATAAAGGGTTTTCTTAGGTAAGGAACAATAAAATCAAGACAGTACACCAAAAAAAAACCCAACATAAAAATACAGATGTACAAACAGAACCCCAGAATGGCTGAGTTTGGAAGGAACCTTTGGAGGTTATCTGGTCAGCCCACCCTGCTCAAAGCAAGTCACTTAACAGGAGGTTGCTTGGGGCCTTGGCACTAGGAGCTTCTCTGAGCTAGGTGGTAGACTAAGCTGCTCTTGCTTGTGATGATGAAGAAACCATGATGCTGTGCTATTGCTTTTTGGGCTCCCAGAGTCCATCAGCCATGGTCTCACTGCACAAACACTGAGCAGGAACCTACAACTCAGGTTGCTCTCTGTACAGAAGGGACCATGAGGGTATGCATGCAGACAGGAGAGAGCATGACAATAAAGGGAGAGAAAACTAATCAACCACTCTTAGTTTGGAATTCTCAGTGGCTAATTACAGATTATTTTTTTTGCAGCAGCCCCTTCAATGACCTCTCCTAGCCATACTTACCAAGCACTCCTGCACCTTTTGCAGGACAGTATTCTGTTTGTGAAGGCTTGGATTCAAAAGGCTCAGCTCAGTCTTCCCCAGACTTGCAATGAAAGGAACACACAAAGGGCCAGAAACATACTCCAAGTACTCAACCCTGCAGAAAAATTCAAATGGTCTCAGAATGTAAACCTGACCTTCAACACCTATAACCACATCCATAAAATCTTGGGTGACAGAAAAATTCAGCAACAAGTTTAGACCTAAAAATTGTAAACCAGCTAGGCCAGAAAAGCTGCAATTAATCCAGACCTTCCTTTAACTTACATCTTCTTCAAGTTCATCAGCACATGAACCTCAGTTCAAAAATTGGCTACAGGTTATAAATAGCTGCAAGTGGATGAAAGTGCTCTTACAAAGCAGGACTGTCAGAAACTTTTCCCCTTTCTTCTTTTTATTAGGAATAATTCTCTGATAAATGAATGAAGAGGCGGTTGTGGGTGAAGGACAAGAAGTAATCTTAGAGTAGGCCTCCTTCCTATCAAAGTCCAAGAAGGCCTGCCAAGTTAAACAACAGGATGCTCCTCTCCACCCAGAGTGACAGGCAGCCTTTGCAAACAGCCAAAACCCCCAGCAGTGCCAGGGTTTGTAACCAGGGGCACCAGCAACTTCTGATGGCCCTGAACAAACAACAGCCAATTGTTGGCCAGGTAACTTGGTGCTGCAGTTTGTAGAAAGCCTTGTATTACAGTATTTTTGTTATTATTTTAAAATACAGCAATGCTTTCTTTCCCAACAGAATCCTTTTCTTACTTTTGTTTTTTTTCCAATTAGAAGTATTCCAGGAAAAGAATAGTTCTTACTCCCTTTTACCCCTTTAACATGTGGGAAGAAAGAAACAAAGAAAAAGGGGAATTAACGAGCTGTACAAGCCAAGAGTTCCTACCAAGGTACAATCTTATTTTTTGTCTGAGGAAAAAAAGCTGTCACGGAATAATACTTGGCCACTTACATACTGCAAAATTTTGGTAACTTACAAGAATTGTCTTTAAATACACTGAAATGTTTTCAACTATACAGAGCAATGTGCTTGGACAGTACCCAATGGCTTTGTCTTATATGTTCACTCTCAAAAAACCCCACAAAACAAATGAGCAAGTCTCAATACCTAGGTTGGAAAAAATTAAAAAAACAAAACAACAAACAAACAAACAAAAACAAAACAAAAAAAGCAAAGAAAAAATCCAGCACAAACTACATTTAAGTTAGTTTTGTGATTCTAAAAAATTATGCTCAAGAAAGCCCAATGAATTAACCCCTTCATTTAGCAGACAGCAGCAACAGTATCAGCAGCAACATCACAAGGTTTTTGATTGCTGCCACACCCCTGCACTGTGGTTCAGTCACTGCCCAGAGTGCTTTAAGGGGGACTATTTCAAGGATGCAGTTGTGACAAAAATGGACCATATTAAAAGACAACAGATGTGACCAACTTTCACCTGACACAGATTTGGGCTACAGCCAGTGACTGCTTTTTATAAATTAACATTTCCTTTAATAATTTGTTTTAACAACCTCTTCCTAGGACAGAAAAGGTTAAGGTTTTTTAAGTGCTCAAAGGGACGACTCTGAACATGCTGCTGTGAATGTAGGAACTTCAGATGTAGTAGGATATAACTTACGGAAGCACTAGTAAGAGGAAGGGAGGTATAGATGCATTGGAGACTTCCCAAAACTTCCAAGCCAAACAATTCACCTTAAAGTAAGAATAGTGGAAGACATTTGGTACTTCTCAGGAAGAATGAAAATACGTCTTTTGTATTACAGCTTATACATTAGTATACATAAAACTGCATATTATCTTCAGAGAGCATGTCTCTCTGGCTTTTTAAAAGTAATTTAGTTTTCTTTTTGTAGACACCAGAATTGAAACATCCTGTATTTGGATGAATGAGAGCATTTGTATATTTTCAAAACCTCTGTTTATACAGATTATACATGAATTAGCAAGTTAGAAAGACTGCAGAAATGTCTTGCCATTTGTAAGTGACAGATGAAATTGTCAAAATGAAGCAGGCTAACAGAGAAATTCACACATAAAAGACTTAAATTAAATATGTTAACAGACAAGTTCCCACATACAGGATTTTGAAAAAAAAATGAAAATAGAATTAAGAAATTATAATTTACCTACAGTTTGGATACTGGGTGGTGTGTTTATGTGCACAAAACCTTTTTTTTGTTTTACCTGATATGGAGAAAGCAGATGAAGATTGTTTTCAAAGAACTTAAAATTGCTTAAAAAGAAGTCTGTGTCCATGCTTTCAATGAGTTGACAAGTTACTCCTTTCACAAGCTGTCCTGTGCTGATAAGAAATGCAAAGTCCAATCTTAATATTTAAGCAGATCTAATCCTTACTCCCCACAACCATATCCTATGATAGTTTCTTGGCCATCTCTCTTTCCCATTTCTTGTAATTGAAAGGCCACTGAAAGTAAAAACGTAATCAAATTGAAAAAACATTACTGAGCCTTTAAATACCAAAACCTCTGCAATGCTTTGATCCCAATTTTGGATTTGGAGACCCTTTCTAATGAGGAAGGTGAATTATCCTGTGGTACCAAGGACTGAATAAATGTAAGATAGTACAAAACGACCACACAGTGTTTATGTTTACTTCCAAGTCAACCTCATCACAAAACTAGACTTGAACCCCATTTCAAGAGAGACTACTATCCATACCTGAGAAGGTCAACAGGAGAGTTTTTCTTAGACAGTAATTCATACAGATACAAAGCCTGAAATAAAATCCACCATATTTAAAGTCAACTTTAGCTAATTCAGTTGCAAGATACAATAAGTACTGGAAGGTTTCTGTACATTTAACACCCTTCTATACTTTAAAGGCATCTCCAAGGTCCAATTTGGCTAACCAACAGGTTGGCATCCAGATCTGATTTTCTTCTTCACAAGACATCACTGACTGGTGCTAAGGGATCATGTTGAACATGTGCATGGCACACAACCACATAATAAATTAGGTCTTAAGGGACCTCTGGAGAAAAGGCAAAGGGGTAAAGGGCTGATTATACATGAAAATGTCTAGTATACAGTACTGGAAACATAAAATTTATGTGACACAATCTTGAAGACTTTAAACTCAGTGTATTAATGTTTCCCTTTTTGTAACATCATCTCATAATGCTGCCTAGGCTCTAAGTGACCTCTGGTTGTTTATGTCAAGATATATTTGGGGCAGTTCCATCCTTTTACCTATGCTCCTCACACACACATGTATTACAACACTTTTCCTATTCTCCTATCATACTAAATTGCAGTGCAACAGGAACTGCGTAATAATTTTTACCTGGCTTCTCCTCAGTTCTTTTTCTTTCATCATGGAGGAGTTATATCCAGTCTGCTTCCATAAATCAGAAAGAGATATTTCTTTAAAAAAAGCTCCTTGTATTTCTTTGACTGATGCAGAAAAATCTCCAGATGCAGCTATCTAAAAAGAGGAACAGATAAATACATGGCTTTTCAGAACTGATGCTTAGATTTACAGGATTTGCCCTTCTTTTATTCTGTGTAATATTACTCTTAAAGAGGATAAAGGAAAAAGACGTCAGTATTAAAAGTACCACAGGACTAAGCAAGGGACAGGCTTCAAAATATACTTGGTGTTAAGAAAAAAACACGGGAAATACCAACCACTGAGCTAGGATACACATTTCAGTGACAACATTTTAAATCACATTCTGCATATTTGGTTATTGTGCTCTTCAGTAGAGAAGAGGCTGCTACACACTGGAGTTTATAATCACCTTCCTGAGGATCCCTTGCTGTTGTGCAGGCAACAGGTCAGACAAGTATTGGGATGTTGTGCCTCGAATAATCTGAGAAAGCTCCTTTGGGTTCATGCTGTAGAATGACCAGGTGCTAATGCCAGTCACCAATGCACCCATTTGACTAACATTGTAAAACGATAAAACCTGCAGAGAAAATAGCACAAAGAGAGTTTTCTGACTCATGAACAGCAGATATATTTAAAAAGCAAAGTTAATTAAGAAATCAAAAATATTATTGTTGAATACTTAATACATTTCTTGCAATGGGATGTGCTTTTCTCAGATTTCTTTCAGTTCAGACAAGACTCTCCAGGGAACAAATGTGACAGTTTTCTCAGATGCTCCTTTTTTTGAAACTTCAGAGGGGACCCTGATTCCTTCCATTACAGTATATAAAGTCTGGGAAATTCTGCTTAGGGCAGTAATACAAACAAAACAGTGACAGATAACAAAAAATACAGACAACTGCCAAATACTCATTATTTCTGTAATTAGAGAATTACTTTGGAAGGTACAGTCTTGGATATTTTTTACTCACATAGAATTTTGAGACCACTACAATACTAAAAAGAAGTCTTGTACTAAACTTTTCAAACTCTACAGTCATCATTGAGAAAAAGCCAGTTCAGTTTTAAAAATAGAAGGTAAAGATGTTATCAGAGGTACCTTTTCATAGGAGAGGTATTTACTGGATAAAATCATAACTTGGCTTCTTGCCCACCCAGAGACTTGGTTTAATGTTGCAATAGCATTATGCACTGCTTCAGGTGACAAAGATTCCAGCTGACTTGAAGTCAGTCCAACCACAGCATCTGACAGAGATCCAAGGATATCATTCAATGTCTGGTTGTGTGTGGCAATGTTCAGGAGTTGATATTTGAGCTAAAGTAAATTCAAAAAGCAAGTGGGAAATAAAAATCTGCCAAGAACCCATTTCCATTATCACCCAAAACTTTTACTGGAGTTCCTGGCATGGGCACTGGCAAACATTTAGTGACCACACACAGTTTATAAAAGTTGAAAAATAGAACCATAGTTGTCAAAGGAATATGGAACACGAGGAAACAGAGCAAGGAAAGAACGAGCACTGTGAAACCCCTCCCAAAATAGGCTTTTATTATTTGCATTATATGAGCGAGAACTATTTCTCCTAGTTTCTTAGACCTCAGCCATTTTTTACTCTTTTCTGTCCAAATTCAAGACAAGAGTGCATCCTCCTCTGTTTTCAGGATTCGTTTAGGCAAGAAGAACAAGCATTGTACCCACCTTCTGAACCTCAGCCTGGAAACCTCTCAGTTGATTGCATTTAATCATTTGATGAAGTAAAGCCCGGGCCACAGCAGCATCCATCTCTTCCATGTCATCATAAAAGCAAACCAATAAACCCAGCCTATAGAAAAGAAAATACATTAGCTAAATTCTGACATAAGTTATAATTCTCAGAAAACTGAAATATAGTATGGTGTGCTCTACTTGTGCTCAAAACTTGAGTTATTTATCTGTCACTAGTGCCTTAAACTGCAATCTTTAGTGATGGTGATGAATTTGTTTGTAGGAAGCCTGAACCAGTCTTCCTGTCACTGTAAACAACCAGCCTTTGCTTTCATAATCTACACAGGACAAAGCCTAACTTTCCTGCTAAAGACTCTTAAGCAATGCCTTGAGGCAGGCATGGGCAGAGTCTAGGCAGTAACATCTAGATGTGATCTTAATCAACAGCAGACAATGATGTGGCACTATCATCAACTTAGTAGAATTCTGCAATGCAGAAAAGTTTAGCTTTTAGTCCCTCAAAAACAACCAGTTCAGCAATATAACAAAATACTGCTCCAGCAGCCTATCTGAATTCAAGGGACATCATCAAGCTAACATACAAATCAAAGAAACATCTTCAACTGCATTTTTATAATAAATAATTACCTTCTGATGCACTGTGGCATAGCCACCAAGAGCTCTCCATCTCCTTTGGGATTAACAGCAATGAATAATACTACTTCTTAAAAGTGCATTTAAATCATCAGTATGGTTAAAATGAGTAATATAAAATAAGTGTGTTGTAAAAATTGAATATATTAAGGATTACAGAGCATGACATTTCTCTCATCTCTAAGAATGCAGCACCTCTCATAAGTGGTAAAACAATTTTTAAGATTACTGACATTCAAATTTAGAGAGTGGGCACAATTCTTCTCTCACATCTCCAACAATCAGCAATACTTCATGGAAATCAGTGAGCTCCATTACAATAATGACAGGAGCTCTGAAGCCATAAAGCATATTCTCCATTAGTTTAAAACTCCAAGGTATCCCCAGGGAGACTACAAATAACTTCAGACAGTGGTATCTTGGGACTAAATACATCCACTTACATGATAGTGTAAATGCAAATGTGGAGTACAGCACTTTCTCACAGGTAGCTCATACTCACTGTGTATTTATGAGTAAGAGCAGTTAATTTTGTTTTTTTTATTATTGTTAATGTAAGTTCAGTGCTAATTTCACAGCCTTTAAATGTGGCTCATCTCTGCCCTGCTGGACGTGAAGAGGACAGCAGGACAGGCTTCACACCTCTGTGTGACCTCTCTTGACACCCTTGCCAAATGAAGACTGCTTGCAGTCCTGGCTGGCATAAGCTAAGGTTTCCTCCTTCAATCCTAACATGATTTAATCATAGAATCATAGAATCTTAGGGGCTGGAAGGGACCTCGAAAGATCATCTAGTCCAACCCCTCCTGCCAGAGCAGGGCCACCTAGAGTACATCACAAAGGAATGCATCCAGGTGGGTTTTGAATGTCTCCAGTGAAGGAGACTCCACAACCTCCCTGGGCAGTCTGTTCCAGTGCTCTGTCACTCTCACAGTAAAAAAATTTTTTCGGATATTCACCTTGAACCTCCTATGCTCCAATTTACACCCATTACCCCTTGTCCTATCACTGGTCATCACTGAGAAAAGCCTAACTCCGTCCCCCTGACACTCACCCCTTACATATTTGTAAACATTGATGAGGTCACCCCTCAGTCTCCTTTTCTCCAAGCTAAAGAGACCCAGCTCCCTCAGCCTCTCCTCATAAGGGAGATGTTCCACTCCCTTAATCATCTTTGTAGCTCTGTGATTTCCACAAAACACCTTCATATTCTGTGATTCAAACAGCCATGTCAACTCAGGTCCCTCTATCCCAATTTATTTTATACCTGTACTGTCCAATGTGATGGAGCTTTGATTTGATTCCCCAGATACTACTGTGGTCTACAGACACCTCCTCACTGTGGAGCAGGAGACAAAGCCTCTAGTTAGGCACACCTCCAAGAATTAATAAAGTATCAATTCTTCACTGTTGCTAACCAGGGCTGGATTTCAGCTGGAAGAAAAGAGCTATGCCACACCAACAATTTCATCAGCTACTTAGTACATTTCTCTTTTCTCCCTACTTACTTGTTCTCTCCCTGTGCAGCCATAAAAAAAGGAAAACAGTCTTGCCTGTAGATAGTTGATGTGTTCCTCATATCAAATCCTGATGAGTTTATTCTTTCCAGGAAAGCTTGTGCAAGCTCTGGTGTGATATCATACACTGTGTCCAACTGCTTTGTTGCATTGTCATAGCTAATGAATAGTTTTATCTGACCAGTACAAACAAAATCACGTGTCAGGTTTATGAAACAATTACACCAAATAAAGTGTCTGAAATTCTAAATTAATTGACTCCATCCATGTTTTAGAGAAAGGAAGGAGATAGATTTGGATGATACTGTATTTTTGAAAGCAAAGCTGAGTGATCGATTCTCCGTCAAACAATTTGAGAGTCTCTGTCAGTGGTCCCTGTCTTTGGTACAAGCCACAGAAGTCTGATACAGAGAAATAATTACATATTAATGACAGGCACTTTGAAATTCCAAAAAGAGAAGAATATTTGGTTGACAATGGATTTGGAATCACTTTATAGCTAAGTAATTAAAAGATACAAACTTATTTTTCATGCTTAAGTTTACATTGTGTTCCTACTGTTTGTAGCTGACATCACTTGACAATGATATATTCAACCACATTTTGTTACTTACTTCATTGAGACTAATTTTCAGAATTTCTTCTAAGGGGAGATGGACCATGTACCTTCCCAAAATCCACAAAATGTCTGCACTGACCCACGCAGTGGATTCATTGAACTCTGTTTTGTACAAAATAAATACTCACTACAATGTTAAGAAAGTAATTATTTTTCAAGTATGTTGTACCCGGTATATTGTTATTGGTAAAAAATAATAAAAAAAATAAATCAATCTGCAAATCAGAAACATCCTCAGCAGTGAGAGGTTCCTCCATTCTCTAGATTTTAGCACCACATTTGTATGATCCCACACATTTTTTAATGAAAATGGAATAACTATTCAAGTGTCTCAAATTTTCTCATATGAAAATGATCTGTTTTATGTTGGTGAAACAGATAATGGATAAACTAAGGGACAAGAAAAATTAAACCAATAGTATTAAATATGGAGTAGCACTATTAAAATGCAGTTTTACTATTAAAATATATTATTCAAGATCACTGGAAAGGCATGATACTTTGTAACAGTTTATATAGCTTATATATTATTATTGATCATACATCTCATTTCAGCAACATGCAATAGCAATAATGAAGAAAATGAGAAAGCATTCATGGAAACAGGTTGGGAAAAAAATACAAAATACCATGTAACTGTTAAAAAATGTCATTATCATGGATATTATAGATAGATGTCATCCTCCCAAGGATTGAAAATGAAATCAAGATGCTAATACCCCTGAGAAAAAAGTATTTATGGACTAAGTGGGTATTATGAGCCACAGAGACACTGTTTTCTCCATTAGCTATAATATGAATGCCTCAATATGTGATACTTCTGGATACATTCCTTAGCAGTGCTGATACTCACAACTCTGGTAAAATGAAATCATCAGTGCATTTTGCAGTTTTTAGTACCTGGAAAAAACAGCCTATAAATATCAGACACTGAAGAACTTCATTTAGCAAATTATTTTTTTGAAAATACAGATTTAAGCTCCTTAACTGAGACAAGATGTTGCTCCCAGCTGACCTGCCTGTTTTTTGAAGTGGTATTAACTTCCATTACCAGGAATATTAAGAGAGTTGAAAGAAAAGTTGATAGAAAGAAGAAGAAGTTGATAGAAAGAAGTTGATAGAAGAAGAGTTGATAGAAAAGTTATACAAAAACTAGCACAATTTATGGATGTTGACTGTGGCCTTTAGCAGAACAGACTTGCAGTTACCAACCACGGTAGCCGTGAGCCCCAAAAGTTGTTTTGTCATTTAATAATAAGGTACAAAATCAAAAGTTACAACCTCCTGTTTTTGCAAGGGCTACCACCATGCCTCATCTCTGAATACCTCAGTTTTTAATACAAAACATGTGAGAACTGGTTGAGTGGCAAAGAAATTTTGTGAAAGATTTGGCTCTTAAGCTATACAAGCCACATGTCATCTCCTGCTCCTCCAGTGATCCAGCTGCAGGGACTGCCTGATACCATGGGGACAAAAAAGCCCTCTGCACTTCTGCAGGTACAATGGAGACACAGTTATTAAGTGAATAAATCAGTACTGCAGGGCTCCTCTGTTGTCCTGCACTCCATGTTGCGACCCGCGGTGTGCAGATATACTTGAGTGAGCTTTACTTGGATGTTGGTAGCAGGGCAGCTATGCCTGCTCAGGGCTGATGGGTTCTGCAGCTCATGCAACTAGAACTATCTGGTACTCAATGCACACCCAGACTCACGTCAGAAGTCCATTCACCACATCTGCCCTGCCTTCATCTGAAGCAGCAACCAGGACAGAAGAGAGGCGTGGTAATTCACAGTCCCTCCTGAGCTGGGTGATCTTTTACAAACTGAGGTTTTACTGATGTTACACACACAACCCAAGACGTCTGATGCTGAGGGATTTTCCCAGGGCTGCAGAGAATCATCAGACAAGTTCTGCATTTTTGCTTCCCCATTAAAGCACTGTCAGTAACACCATCTCACAGCAGTGTCATGAACTTCCTCTCTACAACGCAATAGGTTACTCGTATATTTTGAACTGGCAGAAGTCCCAGGAGCCATACTTTCTCCACTGAAGCAAGCAGGCATCTTGCCTTGAATGTCCAGGAAAAGAGGAAGAAAATAGACATCTAAAAAACTACAGTGCTCTCACAATAGCATCACTGAGATGTATAGTGAAACTCAAGCACCAGCTCTCACGTGTCATCGCTGCTCTTGCTTTACAGCCCCCCTCATGGAGGTTGTTCTGCACTGTCCCAGCTGTGGCACATCTGCTTAAGACACCTTAACAAGGCAAACAGATGCGGTAAAATGAATAAAACCAGGATGAATTAACTTTGTTTTCATCTTGTCCCTTTTCTGAACGAGTCAGTGCCACGTGCAGTAGAACTTTCACAACATCCTGCATTTTTTTTGCATTTTTTAACAGTGCATTGGCCAATGTTTTCTGAGACAGATCTATTTTTCTAGTCTGAATAGGAGGTCAGAAGTGAACAACACACCTGTGCAGAGCACCTGACAACTGTATCCTCTTTAACTCTTAGAAAAAGGACCAGTACAGAGACTTTGTGTATAGCTTTGTACTGAAGAAGAGCATCTTTGGAGAACTATTTGCCATGAATAAGCAATCTATTACCTTTACTGTACTCTGGAGCAAAAGTATTCAAGACAGCTACTCTTAAACAGACCTGTATTAAATTTGGGAAATAATTCAATACAATGGGCAGGCCTTTTGCTGACAGTTTTTCCTCCTAGGATAAGCAAGAAGAAAATATTTTGTACATAACATACCACTCATATTGTAGGATTTTTGTAGAATCTGCTTCATCCAGCCATACAGAGCTCTCTGTGTATTTGCTGAGGTTTTGTCATAGAGGTCCTTGAATACTCTTGATCTAAGTGACACAAGGGCATGTTAATTCACCAATGAGTTAACTTTTCCTAAATTATTATTTAAATAGTACACGTGGACAAATGTTTTTAGAAACAGTAACACATAAGCAGAAAGCTGTATCTGAAAAACAGGCTGAGACTACATAGTAACCTCTTTTTAAAAGTATATACAGTTAGCAAACACTACACGCAATTAATTGTGTCTGGAAAATAAATGACTTACAAGTTTCTGAAAGCATCCTCCTGCACAATGTTTGGGAGGCTCTCAACGACCTCAGGCTGGAGATAGTTCACTGCTGACATACGCAAAACCTGGCTTAGGATATCCACACAGTCCAAAGCACTCAGAGCCAGAAAGCATTTATCCAGTGTTACAAGGAACAAGGTCCTGTTTACTCCTGGGCTTTGAAAAATTCTCTCTCTAGTCTTGTCCCAATCAAAGATAATATTTCCCATTTCCTGCAAGTAACAAAGGGTTAAAAGAATGCCACTCTGACTAATTCAATGTATTGTTCATTTTGAGGTCTGACAGAAAGCACTCTACAAAAACATATGGTGCTGCTCTCATGAAAAATAGCTGCAAAATACTTCTGGTTGAATTACTTCAGCTAATTCCTTTCTGGCATTGGCCAGAGACCAGCTTGAATCTTCTGACAAAATCAAAATGAAAACCAGAAAAAATAATCCAAATGGCTGCTGAAGCTATATTGTGTGCTTTCATGAAAGAATTAGTTACTTGAAAAATGAAAGGATATTGGAATTGAAAGGGTATTATTTCATACATAATTTAATATGCAGACACCTCTAGAACAGACCTTTCTCCATGCAGTATTTCTTGCATCCAAAAATCCCTTCCAGAAAATGGGGCAACAGCATATAGGGAATAAGGACAGGGAATAAAGTCACTCTGCTTAGGAGTGGATTATTAGGTTGCTTTGTCTCAAGTGCCAACGTGTCTAGGGTAGCCTGTTCAGAGCTGATAGCCCCAGGCCTGGTGATTTGTTCATGCAGTTTTATCAGTCCTAGAAGAACTGGGTATAGTGTTTGAGAAGACAAAATTTACAGTTTATTGAAAGGCCTTCTGCTCCACTGCTCTGGCTCCCAGTGTGTTATGCACACCTGTCCTGTGTGCTTTGGCAGCAGGAGCTGCACCACCATTGTTTGAACAGTGGATTATACAGTGTTTGTTCTGGGCAGTCACCTCATGGCTCTGGGGAAACGCTCTCCCTTTCTCCCAGATTAATCTCCACCCCTCAGATATACCCATGCTGGAGGCCCTCTGTCCTGGCAGGGAAAGTGCCAAGTGCTCTCATACCTCAGGCTGTGATCCCACCGCTGCAGTGGAGACCCTCTCTGCAGCACTCACCGACTTTGAGAGTGACTTTTAAGATGGGTCACACAGAGAACACACCACAGAGGCAAGCAAATGATGTTATGCTGCCTCCCCTCCAAATTGCCTAACAATTTGCTTACACAATCCCATAACTAATTAACAAGATAACTAATTTAACTTCCTTTAGTCATCTTGGCTCTCTTTCTAAGCACTCCAGAGAAGCAGATACTCCCTGAGAACAACTAGTCCTACCTGCCTTAGGTATTTGCATGGGAAGGTAAATAATTCTCTGGAGATGTGTTTCTCTCCACTGATGGATTACAGAGCAAATCCAGAAAACTGCCTTGTCACCAAACTTCTAGGCAAGAAGAATTAAATGAAATAAATCCAACGTAAGAGGAGGGGGTCCTGGAATATAACCCAAGCCAAATAAGTAATTGCATGACATGCACTAAGACACCCCCAAGTCTGGTCCTTTCCCATTTGTCTAAACTATTGAGAGCAGCTTTTATTTTTCACAAGTGCAAAGTGACTTACAAGATGGTCCTTTCTGCTGTTGAAGAGATACTTCATTGCAGTTTGGAACTGCTGTTGATCAAGCTGTTGAAATTCAGACAGTAGTTGCCTAGGTCGGTATAAAAGGTTCTTCAGGTAATTTTGTATGGATATCTGAAGTAGAGAAAAATATGTGTAATAGATATAAAACTCAAACCATTGCACTGGGGGCATGTTATACTCCCTGAAAATCTCTCCTTAAGGAGAGGTAAGTGCTTAGCTCCCACATTGCCTGTGTTGTCAATGACTAGAGTAACTATACTCAACAGAAAGTGTAAACAAAAAATCACCTAAATGTAAATCTGAAAGACAATACATTGAAAATCCTATTAAATCCTGGCTTCATATTTGTCCTCCCCAGCAAGATAAAACAAAAATTGCCTCAGTTTCTCACTTCATAAAATAAGAGTAATAATGCTTTTCTCTCAGAGTAGAACTGTGAAAATGAACATTTTAAAGAGCTCAGAAAAATCAGGTACTGTGTGCATATAATTATTACTTAAAAATAGGAAGGAAATGTGCGATTAGGTGGGAGAAAAATTCTGTACCAGGTCATAAGGCAAAAATCTCTCACATCAAACTGCATAACCAGTTAGCAATCTTGTGCCTGGTTTGAAAATCTGAAGGGAATTATAACATTGGAACAGAAAGCATTGTAAGGCTCATTAACACCAGATTGGAGTAAAATTCCTTCTAATTCCTAACAGAATTGTTCCAGAATTGGCTTGGAATTTGAGTTGAAGCTGTTCTTTGCTGTCTTGGCTTAGCTCACATTGCCACCAGCAAATAATTAACATAGTCAGGTTCCTCTTGACTAGGGGATCAAGGCCTTAAAGTGTAAATCAATTTAATCAGTGTCAGTCTCCTGTAGGTTTGGATGAGCTGTGACAGTGAAAGGGAGCTTGGGAAAAGGTTTGAGTGGTGTGGAGCTGCATGGCTGCGTGTGCAGGGAGAAGGAAGGGGTTCAGATTTTGATTAGCATGGTATAGCTCCACTTAAACCTGCTAATAACTAACCAAAATGACCAGGGATAGAGAACAGTAATGTTGGCAAATTGTCACTGTGGAAGTGACATAGGAAAAAACAGTTCAGAGGAGCTTTAAAAGGTGGATGCTTTTTGTAGGATACCCTGGAGACTCTCATTCCATCAGAAGCAGTGCGAACTACAGCCATGGTCAAAGTCTGGGAGAAATAAACATACTGGTGTGTATACACTCAATTTAGGAACAATCACTGAGTCTCAAAACTCCTATTTTCTGCTTTCCATCAGAGGAGAAGCAAAAAGAAAAAAAACCCAACAACTTACTATTTCTGCCCTGCATTCTGGTGCAATCTTAGGGAAAAAGATGAACCAAAAAACGTATTCCTATTTACTGCTTATCTCCTACACTGTAGATCTGTAAGTTACTCCTATTATTAAAAACCTAGTTTTGAATATAGAGATAGGCTGCTTTTTAAATTCCTTTTAAAGTAAGAATTTTAATGAATTTTAAATGGCACAAACCTGTAGGCTGCTAAGAGTCAGTGTAACTTCCTGGGCATGAAAATATGCCATGACTTTTGTAAGCATATCTGCTGTCCAGACATCAGAACTGTAGCAGAAAACAGGACCAAAAATGCCAGTAGAAGAATAAAACATGTAAAATAGCAGATTACAAGACAAAACAAGAATAAGAAAACTAAACTGTTACTAACACCATGAGTATTCAGCTTTTTGACCTAACAAGACTAAGAGCAGACATGTTAATGTGTGGTTCAACAAGGAATGGAATTAATAAGTTATGGGTTTTTTTAATCTAACTCCATAACCACCCATAATAATCACAATTTTCCAATTTATTGCCATTAATACCATCTCCAGGCATGAGACAACTGTACTGGGGTTAGTCTGGAGCTATAGGTGTGCTTCCTGGCACCCCATTCTGCCTGTTCTCATCTGCTTGTACAAAGAAAGTAGAGTGACTCCTGTCTGCTGCCTCTCCCTCAGCAGGGTCAGTAATTTCACTGTGTCTTCACACAGCCACTGTTTTTCTCAAAACATGTAGGAGTTGGATCAACCTTGAGGCTTGTATTGCTCTTTCAAATTTAAACTAGATTAGCAAATAATTCAAGAGTTGCGAGGACCTAGAAGAAGTGGGATGGGTGGGGGGTGGAGCAAGACTGAAAGAGGAAGATGGACAGGAAGCTGGAACCCTAGTTTTCATAAGAAGTCATTCTGAAGCATGTGAACAAAATTAATAATAAAAACTTTTGACAACTGTAGTAGGTGTTTATTCTTGTCCTCAATCTTTTTTTTTTTTTTTTTGTGCTTTACCATGAAAAACAGCTTCTTCCTTGCTAAGAGGAAATTCTCCTCACGGGAGATCAAAATCAACGTGATTATATGTGTCAACTTAATTCTATCCGTATTGTTTCTGTGGAAATGAAACAGATCATATCTGAAGTGCAAGGTAATACCAAAATTCAAGATGGTGAAAGTAATACATTACCTCTGAAAATGAAGTATATCAAGGAGGGCTACACATGAAAAATGGAACATAAAAAGTTATGGTGAGATACTATTTAAATTCCTTTTGGAAGCATAAGAGGGAAAATTTTGTACATTACCATTCAGATATTTCCCAGTTATTATTTCCTCCTAAGGAAAAAATGATACATGTATATAATAAACTATTATTTTTAGATTACAATATAAAATGTTTGTAGAGAGATCAAATAAAAATACTAACCACAGCTTTGTGTAATAATGGAGGCAAATCTGTAAAAGATTATCCTGTTACTAAAAGTTGATTTGTTTTACCAATTCAACTGTTATACAAAAATACATGTACTGTATGCAGTGAAACTATATATAAGCATATACTTTATTTATAAGCATTTAATGCAGTTTTGATTAAATATATGTGCAGAAAAACAGTGAAAATAATAAGCTATTAATAAAGAGCAATCTTGATTAAATTCTTTGCTGGCATAGCTCCATGAAATCAAGAGAGCAGAGAAGATGGTTCTAGTTATTAAAGAGCACTACATCTATTTTACTACATACAGCTTCTTCCATCCACCCAACATTCACTGCTCATACAGGAGTTCAGGTCTTACCTTCAGTGTTCTGACTGTGTGTAATCTCAGCATGATTCATTGCTATCAATAAGAAACATATCTTCAAAAGTCTGGACATTTCTTCTAATGTTTATTAGAATCAGAAGATATTTGGATTGAAAGGGAAAATAATAAGAATGGAGTCACAAGGCAATATTGACTCAAAACTTTCATAGCTATAAATCAGAGACAGCTTAAACTACAGAGTACAGATAGAGATGAGAATAATCTAAAAGTGCTTGCTCCAAAGTTTTTAATTTAGATCTTTTTCCAGGATACATATTCTATGCAAATACAAGTCTGCCAAGTGTGCATGTGCAGCCAGATTTATTTTTCTTTTACCAAGCAGCTCTTTTAATTTTCTTCCCAGTAGCACAATTTACTTACTAATCCACATTACACCTGAACAGGCCTTAAACGCACTTTTGGTAAAGCAAACAAACAAATCCTTTTACACTCAAGATAAAATGGAAAAGAAATAGAGGGAATGAAAAAGTAAATAGTAAAGAAGCTCCAAACAAACCCTAAGCTTTTTCTAGCTCGTTAAGTTGCCTGCACAATTACTGCAGACTAGGTCTGGGACCCTCCATTTGCAGCTCTCTGAACTCAGACTGTGGGAGCTGAACTCACCCACTGTCGCCCCATGTCCGTGCAGGGTGCTCTGTGCAGGGGGGGTGCAGGAGGGCTCCCATCCCCTGCCACTCTACAAAAAGGGGGGAAATGTCCTTATGCCCCTCTGAAGCAGAAGGAAAGTGGCACATTTGGGAAATGGAGTTCAGGACCATGCCACTTCAATCGGGTGGAACAAAGCTCTAGTCTTTGTACTCATGAGGAGTGTGCCATCAATTTGCCATCATCAGCTAGGACATAGTTTCTATGGAAATACGTGTTTTAGCAGCTCTTGCTATCCCTGCTGCTCTGTGCTATGCAGCATAAAGACTCCTGAAAGATAAATTGGCTGAAAGGGCAGTAATGGGATACCTGGAGCTTTTCACCAGTGTGTCACTGATTCTCATCGAAAAACAGACAGTCTCACAGTTGTCCAATATGAGATGAGTTTGTTGCTTTCTGTCTAGCTGCTGAAGGACAAGGATACACACTGCAATAATGCAACGGGATGGAAAAGCAGTGGAGCCTGAGTGGGTCTCGCTCACTCAGGTGTTTCTGCAGCACTGAGGAACACAAGCTGCTTTCATCCACACTGCACCAAGTTTACTGCAGAGAGGATTTTCTGCCTCTGCACCCCGCAGCCTGGCCCTCTGCCCAGCTGTGAGAGTCACCATCCCCACAGGTAGAACAATTAATTAATCTGAGATATTAGATGATGCCCTGCTCTACAGATTGCAGCTTCTTACACTGGGATTACTCTGATTTTAACAAGTGACAAGGAGGGTCCCACAGGTAAACTTCACTTTGACCCTGAGATGACCTTGTTAGGTTTTTTCTCCCTTTACTTCAGTTCAAGGGCTTATTTGCAGCCACACTTAATTTCTGCATTTCTTTTTGTTGGTGAATTTGGATTGATTCTCTTAAAAAAAAACCAAACCACAACAAAAAGGTTCTCTGCCACAGCTTGAGTTACAGAATCAGATCTGAACATCTGATAAATGCAAACGCCTTCCTCAGATTGTTTAACCTCATGTATCAGCAAGGTACTCTTTTATGAAAATGTCTATCAACAGCCTCTAGCAATACTTCAGTCTATTGCAAATACTTAACTCCAGTCTTCTAACACGAGTGACTCAAACTGATGGATGATGACAAATTTAAGCATTAGGCTTTAAGAAGCTATAGCTTCTGTCCTGTTCTTGCACACACTGAAACCCTTTTCATCTACTCTTTTGGGAGCACCACAGTACACATCTCTTATTCAGACATATCTGGTTTCCTAGACAATGAACTTTCTTGTGTTTGTTTCTGCCTTTGCCCTATTAATTTTCAGTAAGTTTTGATTACTCTGCATAGTTTAAATCATGCCATCAGTGTCAATCCTGATTTGTTTATTCCAATTCATTCACTTTGATTAAGGAATACATTTTAATTAAAGCATGTTAAAGTAGTATTTATGGAGATTAAATGCTAAGGAAAGTGCTTTTTTTATCCTGACTAACTCCAGTGAGGAGCTAGGTGCAGAAAAGTCTGTTGTGAAATAGCCCTGCTTGGTAAGACAACCTGCAGGATGCAATAGTTCCTTTTGACAGTGAAACTAACCTGTTTGCAGTTCACTGCAGCTTTTAGACAATCCCACATACTCCTGTGGGGATCTTTTGCAGATCCCATCCTGCATTTCCTGACAGATCATTCCTTGCATGATATGCTGTGATCAGATCTCTGAGATGTGACCACTGCAGTGCTCTGGTTATGAGAAGCTCCCAGATTGCTTCCTCCTCTTGCTCCCTAAGCAGCTGCTCTTCCATGTAAAGAAATCCAAGACATTTTATCACTCACTTCAGAGCAGCCGGTACCTTATCTGAAGCTTGATAACCAGAGAACTAACCTTATAATCACAAGTCTTGCTGATAAGCCCTTGCACCACCAGTGCCCATCCTCCCCCTTGCATCCAGGCTTACAGCACCGCTGGAAAACAAGCCCTACACGCAGGGATTGAACCCTCACGGCGTTTGGGCTGGAAAGGGAGAGGGAAGCACGGGGAGGGCAAAAGAGAAGAGAGCCAGGGCCCCGCGGCACTTTACCTGCCTCTGCTGCGTCTCCTTCCCCGCTCGCAGTGCAAGGAGCAGGGCGGCCCCAGGCAGGGACCCGGGAGCAGGGGCAGGGCCTGGGGCCAGCACCGCCTCGCAGCCTCAGGTGTCTGCTGGCACCGGCCTTCCAGCCGGAGGGTGGGGAAAAGCCTCTGCGGAGGGGATCTGAAGGCGAGGGTCTGCCGTTGCAGGCAGGCAGGGATGCTTCCCGTCCCGAGGTGAACAGAGCTCACGGGGTTGCGTGGGGTGCTGCCCAGCTCCCCCACACCTGCCGGGCTCCGCAGAGCCGAGTACGAGTGGAATGTACCTGGGGTCACCCAGCAGAAGGGGGATGTGGCTTCCAGGAGATGAAGTTGTTCTGACTTTGTGTTCGAAGTTTCTGACTAACTCATGCCCTTGCATGGCATCTTTTTCCTGCGACGCAACACCTTGACAGAACAGATAGGTTAGTTACTCTCCAGGGTAAACCACTGCACATCAGTGAGACTACCAAGGTGTGACTGCCACACTGTCACCCACAGCAGGACAGAGACAGCAGAGGGATGTGGCAGGTTCTCCAAGCCCGGGAGTAATGTATTTGGACATTGGACTTGCAACAAACACTTGTCCCCTTGGATGACATCTTGAAGTACTTCAGGCAATTTAATCAACTACTGGACTAAACAATTTCTTTGCATGGCCTGTATGAGCAGACATTAATTGCACACAAATGCACTCTCAAGGTCTGGAAAGACAAAGAAGTCTCTTCCCTGGTACAATGAGCCATGTTAAGTTCCTTCCTTTGCAAGGAACACTGATTTTATGAGTGTAGGTACAGTCCCCAGGGGTACTCTGTACGTTCAACAGGACAGACAGGTTTTTGACCCAGCTGAATATGGTCCCTTAGAATTTAAGCTTACTTCTTCCATATCTTTTCCCTGTTATTGCTCACATTTTACTGTTTTAATTCCTCCTCTCAAGTGTAAGACTACTTGTTTAAATAGAGGGAACAAAATAGGAAATGAGAAAAAAAACTACTATTATTTATGGTGCACCTTCTCTCCCCAAACCTCCCAAAGCTATTACAAACCAAAGGACTAAAAGATATGAGATGTGAAATGCATAGCCTCTTGTGTAATTTGCAACCTGTGGGATTAAAAAACTTAAGTATCTTTGAAGGAGTTTGTCTTAATATGTATTTGCTACATGAAACTAAATTCACTACACATCAAGAAACGTATTTCCCCACTAGTAGATGAGTATAAATGAAGGTAACAAAACACAAATTAATGGATTCACTTCAGAGCATCCTTAGTTCATTTTCCAACAGAGAAACCTAACTGTACTCTGTGCCAAAATTCAATAGTACATGTTGAAATTAGAATAATACTGAGCCTGAATTACTGTTGAAAAAGCCCACCTGTCAAACCCCTTGCTTCATACTACAGAATACTTACTATTGCACAAAGATGGCTGAGAATAAAAGGTCATTAGATTAGCAAGAGGAATCACTAACCATCAGGCAAAGGAAGTCCAAGGTAAACCTAAAAAGACATCTGGAAATATCATATATGGCATAATATCACCAATCATTTAAAACAAAACAAAATGCACAAGACAACTTTTTTAGACTTGAAAAGCAAAGGATAAGTTAGTTCTTATTTTACTTACCAGATGATGTACAAGCTGATGTACTTAACAGTCCAAGCAAGGCAAAACATGTATCTGCCAGTTCTGTACTACTTATGATGCTGCTTGTTGTTTTAAAGGAAAGTTATATCCCAGAAATTATCCATTTTAAACAGTTAAAAAAAACATCTCCAAAAACATGTTAAAATAAACAGCATTTGTCTAGTGTTCTGAAGAAAAGAAAATGTCCCAAACTAGCAAAACCTTCAAAATCAGATCCCTTTAGCCTGATCCTCAGAGGCAGTTTGACTCACAAAATTGCAAGAAACTGCCTGTAAGTTTTTTAAGCCAAAAACTTTTAGGAACAACTTGCTTAGAAAGTTTGTTATCAAACTTTAAAAAGCAGTTTTGGCAAGTTCTACCGTAATCCCTTTAGCTGGAAAACAGTATATGCAAAAGCAGTGAGGATTTATGAGGCTTTGAGAGGAATATGAAGGAAATCCAACCAAAAGTGATACATTTTTTGTGGATTGTTACCCTTTAAACAACACTTAAATGCTGTTTAAATAAACACAAGGTTGTGCTCCTACTGAGAGCTTGATTTTCAACACAAAGATCAGTTGCTGCAGACAAACATGGCTATGGATACAAAAATGAACACAAAAGTTAATGCAAAAAGTCATCTCAAAAAAAAGTTTATTAGCATGATTAAAAACATGTGACGAATGACAGTAAGAGAAAGTAAATCAGCATGGAAGAATATCCATTTCAACAGCTTATATTCAACAAGATTTAAACTGAATGGATAACTTTATTGCCAGATTTCACTTGATTTCTTTAACAACAGTTCACATGGTATCAGTTTCATCATTATTAGGACTATTGCCTTTGTTTGGATCTGATCCCTGTTGCAGGTAAGTATAAAAAATATCCCCCATTGCTGCTGGGTTGCAGAATGCATTGTTGGTTTAAAAGCCAGTAAAAAAGAAATCATCAGCTGAAGAGTCTGTTTAAAAAACAACCTTTTTTCCCTAACCACACTACAAAGAAATACATTAGTATTTTGGCCTTTAAATTTCTTACGTGGCATCTTAGCATGGCAAGCCCCAAATTCCCTCCCTTTAAGTAACCATAAATCAACCCCTCATTCAGAGGCTGCTTCTTGGGTTAGATTCTGGAGATTTACTTCATACAGGCTTACACTGGCTTGAGAACAAAGACAGCATCATCTAGTACATAGTAGTCATTATACATATCACCTTCACATAGGTATGGCAGTCTGGTGAAAGCCTCTATGGCAAAACCAGCTCTACTGAAAACTTCTGGCAGGCTATTCACCTGTTCTTCCCAAGTGTGCCCTTTGATTTCCAAAACTTCTGAGGGCTTTTCCCACTTGCCACCTACTGGGAAAACAAAACAGTTTTGTTTAAATAGTAAAGAAAACTCTATTGTGTTATATTTTCTTACAGAAAGCACATTACATAGAATTTATTTCACTCCACTTCAAATAGGAGGTTGCCAAGCCATTTGTAGATCTGTTGCAAGATCAGTTCAAGTTTTTTTGCCTGTTGTTCAGAAGCAGCTCTTCCTTAAGGTTATCTTGTGCTACATTTTTAACTAGCAGCTCCAAGACTGGCTAAAAATTAAGTTCCACTACTGAGGCTGGTGTTCAGCAGACACAGTCAGACAGACTATTTAATGAAGATCATTTCCAGCACTACAAAATTATTTCTTTATGCCCACTGGCCAAAGATGGCTTCAGCTAATAACAGTAAATAGAACCAGCAAGCTGAAAACCATGATTTGCTGTGAAGATTCCATTAGCAGACCACCACATTATAATGCATGGCTACAGAATCTTTGTCCCTTCAGTGGCCACCCACTAGCTGATACAGTAAAGACTGCTTAGGGTTATATAAAATTAAGAAGCTGAATACCTGTAGCACGTTGGAAAACATGTTGGCATTTGTTATATCCAATTAAATAACCTGAAGAATTATAGGTACAACTCTCAGAAGTTCAAAATTTAAAACTCTTCACTCATTTTCCAAGTAAGGTCATCCCCAAATAACAAACGCTTTCTGATTTGGTCTGTACCTTTAACCAGTTTTCTAAATGTAATAGTAAACACCCTCCTAAACAGGAAGTTCTAAATCTTGTGATTCAGAGTGTTCTGCAACTCCAAAGGTTTCCTAAGTTCCTCTTCCTTCAAGCAGAATCATTTCTAGAGAGATACGAGAAATGGCATCTTTCAACAAAGTAAAACACATGCTAATGCTGGCGTTTGACTGGATTCTGTACAGTGCTGGTAAGACTTCTTTTAAGCTTCTTACATTTTCCTACATTACCACAGTTAAACAAGATAGAGAATGTTCTGGTTATGACTTGCAACATAGCTACAAAAGAAGAGCAGTAAGAAGTTCTGCTGAGAACCAAGCTAATTTCTGCTATCTTCATACAACTTCCAAATTAAACAACCGATAGCAAACGCTTTTTCTTCAAAAAGTCTGAAATGCTCCTGTAATCTACGATTTCTGGGCCAAATCCTGGTGCACTTCCCTGCAAAGAATGCTCCAGCAGCAGCTGCATGTTTTCAGGGCTGCTGTGCTTGTCTGGGGGGAGGGTTTGGGCAATTCAGCGGACAGTATCTACATGAACTGCAGCCATGGAATTCTGCTCTGCAAGGTCAGCCAGAGCCCTAGACTAAGGTGGAACAGAGAAGGGGATCAACTGTAGAAGCACGAGCTGCTGCCTTTCACCACACAGGGTGCAAGTACCAACAACTTGTATTACTGCTACCTTCAGATTTGCTGTAGCTGCTGTGGAAGGGCTCGGATGCTGATCTGACACAAAAGCAGAGTTTAATTTTATTAATTAATTTAAATCAAGATTTGGTTCATAAAACACTCAGTCAGAAAACTGAAGTGACAATGCTGACTGTCCACCATGGATAGGCTTATAAATTGTGTATCAGCACTAGCTGATACTGATAACTGAGTTTGTTTTTCTTCTAATTTGTTATTTTCTAGGAAGTAGAAAAGGATGCTGTTAACCTATAGCCTTCATTTTCACAGCAATAAACCCAACTACATTGCTTCAATAACTAAGTAATTTTTTGGAACAAAATCAAATATATGAAAATAGTATTTAAATTGTGCATTTCAGTAAATACTTAAATAAAATACCTTAGACCAGTCATATTAAACCTTATATTTCAGTTCCTTAATTAGAATCCTTTGAATAACCTTCCTGTTTTCTCTGCATGCATTTTGAAATGTCTTAACTAACAAGCACTTAGAAACACAGAGTCAACATATGATGAAGTGGAAGAATGTCTAGGAAATACTATGAATTCTAATGAATGTTATGAAATTGCTAAATTATAATCTCCATTTACTATGTTTTAACTGCTTGCCATCAGCTTTCTCACTTGACTCAAATCTGGAAACACAGAGGGAGAAACCCCTGCAGAACCATTCCACTGACCACCCAGATATGTCACACATCTCTCCCTTCCTTCACTGCCTATTACCTCTGCAAATCCCCAAAATACTCAGGACTAAACCTGAGGCAAGGAACTACAGAAAGTATTCCTTTTATCTTCTCCAGGGCCAAAGAAAACATTCACATTGTTTTAAATACATGAATCTTCTCTATATTTTTATCTGCAAAACAGGAAGAGAAATATATTACCACAGAGGTAAAACTGTTAAATGAACACACGAGCTAACTGTCAAAATTATCTAAAAAAGATGTTTGCTGGAAACAACCTTAGAAGTTTGAAAAATGGTTGATTTTACTCCTTTCCTTCCACCTTTTCTTAAATGAACCAGAAGCTTATTTTCTTTTTAGACTGTGCCTTGATTTTAACTGTCCCTCACATTACCAATTGTTTATTCTCAACAGGTGTTACAAATATCTGCCACGTCACTGTAACACAACCCAGGTTTCAGGAAGCCAACTACTCCACGCACACTGTGAAGCTACCATGTACTTATTCTGCCACTGGATGCTCCTCCACTCAACCTGAAGTCCTATGGTTTCGCTTTTTAACTAACAAACATGAGGATTTGTGTACTCCTAAATGCACGAATCATCAGAAGTACAAAGTACATTTATCAGAAAACATTTTACTTGAGATCAATAATCTGACTGTGGATGACAATGCTGTTTATATCTGTGGAATAGCATTTTCAGATTCAAGTTCACCCCATTCTAAACAAACAGGAAATGGAACAGTACTAACAAAAACAGGTCAGTTGATCTTCTTGATGAAGCAACTTAAAAGAAATAAATTATCTCTCCTGAATACTCTCTTGATTTACACTTCCCAGAATGGCACTTAGGATGGAAACATGAAAAAAAACCGCATTAGGAGTATATTAAAATGTTAACAGTAAAACCATGAAGGGATTCTACAAATAAGCATTTTAGACTTGTTTCCTAAATAGACTGTTCTGTCATATGATAAAAATAACTCTAGAATTCTACAAAAGAAAGTTTTGTACTCATGTTATCTAACCATACTCTACATCCTCTTACTTAACAGCTATTGGAAAGGAAGTATCAACAGAAAAATGGGAAGCAGAGAAATTGACATTTAGTGGAAATATGTGCAACAGAGCACAGGGTCTCAGAACTTGGGATTCATTGTGCCAACCTGAGGAAAAAAGTTTTAGTTCTGAGCCTTTATGTCATTTGCCTTCCAGTAAAGAAACTGACTTCATTAACTGCATTTCAGTTTTACATGCCTAAAATAGAAAAATAACCCAGCCCCTAGGATTATTATTTTCCCTATATCCCTCCCTTTGCCTATCTAACTGCATTTCTGAACAAAATCCTGTAAGCTGCAGTCAGATATTCCTTTACAAGAGCAGAAAACTGGATTCTATCATCTGCCAACTCCTAAGGGAAGGGTCCATAATAAAAAAAAAAAAAAGTTTCAATTGTCCTTGAAAACACTCAGGGAAACAAAATCAAAGTAATCTCACTACTGCATTTAGACTGAAAATGAACCAGAAAATATTGATGGTTATAAAGTTTTTAAGGGGGCTGAAATGCAGAATCTTCAGAAAATTATATGAATTAGAAGAACTGTCCTTTATTCTAACACTCACTTTTATTAAAGCAGCACAGAAGCAGCACAGCAATGGAAACCTCATTGTCATGATCGTCACCTCAACCATAATGTTTCTATACAGCACTACTGTATTCACATGTTTTGTGCTCTACAAGGTAGGCTCAAAGTGATTTTTCTGATTTTGTTCATTTTGTAACCTTTCTGATCAAGTTTTAAAGAGGCGGTTATGAGTTCACATGCAGCACATCTGCAAACTTGTCTCGCATCTGTGCTCTCAATAGTAACCATGTTTTCTTTTTTGAGTGAAGTGTCTAAAAGAAAAGGTGTTCTAAAGTTGAAATCATACTGTGTACTAATCAGCAAGATGGAGATTATATATTAAGGCGCACTCAAAAAGAAAACTAGAAATTACCATCATAAGTCAACAACTCTCTGGATTAGTTTCCAGTAAAAAAATTTAAACTGAATGTCCAAGTATTTGTGAGCTGCAGTAAACTGCAGACTGACTTTACCTGTGCAATTAAATTCTATTCATGCATCATGAACATGCAGAAGAGAGACCTTGGTAAAATTTAAAATTACCAATCTTGAAAGAAGTTTTATGGCTATAGGAAACAAACACATTAGAATGCATGTTGTTAAAAATGACATAACTACTGGATTATTTATTGTTTAAAAAACATCTAGAACAAAATGTGTGTTTAGTTGGAGGAAAAAAAAACCCAAACCCAAAACTGCAACTGGAATCCTTACATAATAATGACTCTGACATGACGAGGACACCACAGTCATAAGTGGTGTGATACAGTAAAAAGTTTCTTTGCTGCGGTGATCACTGGCTAGACATAAAGACAGGGTAGTCCTTTTGATTTTTGTTTTTCTTTTAATTAGGGGAAGTAGCCTAGTAGGAAAAATGAATCAAGCTGCCTTCAGAGGAAAACTGGTATCTGTGATGCCTCTGGTTTATTTTTGAGAATTCGATGGTGCTTCAGGCAGGTTCTACTGTGCTCAAAGCAAAAATACTTGCAGCATCTACTATGAGAAGCTGAAAAAAGCTTTACACACTTGAAAACTTCTGATTTTTCCAGTGGTATAAGCTGACCTAATGAAACAGTTTTATCTTCCAACTGTTTGATACTGTAAAAGGGCAAAACTTTTGACTATTCTGCTACCTTAGCACTTGGCTTCTCATAATGTGTTTTAATTATTTTTATCTTATTATTCTTCCCTCCAGTTAAAACCAAACTTGCTAAAGAGAAGTGGGAATGAAGACCAAAGAACAGAGAACTGTGTATGTTACCACTTTGCTTTGTCTGTGATCCAGAGCTTTTTTTTCCTGTCTTTTAGAAGTACATTGAGTATTAATTTTGTGATTAACTGATGATTCAGAGAGACACTCGGAACTGTTATGGCTTCACTTCAGATTTATATAAAACTAGTTAATGATCTTACACTTAACTAATTTATTTATTTTAAACCAATTTGATGTAGGATAAGTCAATCTATGCAAAGGCCATCTCTAATACATGGCTTCCCTTAGACTTCAAGTAAATTTTGTTCAAACATCTGGAAGTAACAGATTTTGCTATTCATTTTTTTGTTTGTTTAAATGGTGCATTCAGGTAAGCTCTCATGTATTTCAACAAGTCTATTAGAACCTCTATCACCGTGTATCATTAAATAAAACCCAGAAGCCATACATTTAAATATCCATTAAAGGTATGTATGTTAAGAGTTGTTATACTAATGTAATTTGAAACCCTTCTGCCTGCCAAATCATATGTTCTTAAAGTGTTATTTAGTAACATTCCCGAAGACATATACAGGGGAAAAAACCCAGAATTATAAAAAGTAAAAAAAAAAATGCTTTCCCCAACTTCAAATCTAGCACCAATCTGAATTATTTTTAAATAATTTGCAGAAAATCAACAGTGGCCGAAAAATTTTTCAAGCAATTGCCCAAGAACTCCAAAAGCAGAGGTATGCTGAACGCTATGGACAGCCTGTAAGTATCTACTGACCAACAGAGCTTATGGGGAAAAAGACTGACAGTTTTTAAGAGCATACTGTTTCTATTTCCTCCTTTTCTTTTTAAAAGCTGATAAAGGTCTAAAAAAGGTATTCTGCACAGCAGTTAAAGACACTATAAAGTATCCTCAATGAGCATACATGCATAGTGCTATTAACAGTTCATTTTTAAAAAGTATTTCTATTGCAGCTCCTCTTGCTCCCTTAGCTCAGGGTAGATAGGTGACAGAATGTACAAAACTGTTAAAAAAGCTGTACGACATTCTTACAGGTATTTCCCCCTCCAACTTGGAGAGCTTAAACTAAATATTCAAATATCGCTGGGTAAAGCCGCACAGCTTATTTCATCGTTCCAAATTTATGCCACTAAGTCTTATACGACCACATGACAATAATTTTGCATATGCCATGTAAGTCACAAGTAAACAATTTCAGAAGTGACATGTACTTGCAAAGAAAGAAAATAGCTTCTAAAACGTTCCTTCTCTTGAAAAACAGTATAAATTATTTCCTATTCTGAGCATGGACTGCTCCACCTCAGAGGTGAAACCAAAAGAAACACAGAACAGAGTCAAACACTCCTCCATATATTTTGACTGAATTAATTTCCCTA